TAAACTACAAACTATTTCTATAACTTCATTTTGACTATTATATTTTTTATGCATAAAATTCCAAACTACAGATGTTGATTTACTTTTATTATTTAAAGATATATTTTCCGTTGTAGGAGGTGAGCCAATGTTATTAATTGAAGACAGACTTTCTATTGTAGAAGAAGATGATGAGCAAATACTTGTTACATTATCTAAAATAGAGTCATTGTCATCATTGTCATTAGACATTATTTAAACATTCATTAGACATTAATTTGTTAAGAATTACTTCGAAAATGAATTAAATGAATAAATACTTTAATTATAATAAATATACCTTTTTATTTCCTATTTATAATAAACAGATAATCTCATCTATCCAAATATTTCTAAACTTGAATAGTAAATAATTTGTTTACTATAATTTTTAGAGACTAATCCATTAATCGTTAAATTTATCATGATATTACGATTTTAAAATTTAATTGGTTATTTATGTAAATCAGATCGACAAACCGCGGTTCAACCACGGTTCAACCGCAGTTTCAACCGATGGTTCAACCATACTCGGTTCAACCACGGTTGGTTTGGTTCAGCCTCAACCGTGGTTCAACCACAGTTGAGTCAGCTGTTTAACATCCCTACCGCACATTGAATTTTATACACTGGTTGGGGAGTCTAGAAAATTTTAATTAGCGATCTGCAAAATTTTGCACCAAATTCTGTTATGAAAATTTTGCAGAGGTTTCACAGATTACGATTAATAAGTTTCACAATATAAAAAAGATTGAGGATATTGTTGATTCATGAACTATAGCCCCCATTTTTGTTCAATCCTCTTTTTTGATCAATTTATTTGCAGCAAATAAACAAAATTCATATTTTTGGGTATCAGATAAAGTCGCTTTACTTGAAAACATTTTATTTGGAAGTTATAAAAGAATATGAATAATTTAATGATATAAAAACAATGACAGTGAACAATGATTTAATAATTAAGTATAATGTTAATTTAATTTATTAATAATATTTTATGAATTAGAAGATTGATATGATAACTGAATGTTTTTTATTTTTAAAGTAATAAGTGTAATTAGACTTTAGTTATTAAAATTCCTTAATTTTATCTGTTATGTCTTTTCCTCTACCTTTATATATGATAATTCCAACTAAAGAAAAAATAAGAGTATTGTTGCCTGGATTCTTACTCTCTTATTCTGTTATTCTGTTATTATAATAATTCTCTACATCTATTAAAAAAGAAAGAATTCTTTATTTGCTTGTTGCTTGAATTATTATTTTACTACGTGTTCCATGTCGCAATCCAAAAAAGGAAACCAAAGGTGGTGTCGCAAACCATTTTTATATGTCGCAAATATGGTTGCAACCATCACCAAGAATTGCGACCAGCATCTATACTACGTTTTAATCATCATCATCATCATCATTATTATATTATTTGCATGTAACACGTAAGGTTGTGGGCGAAACCTCCTTAGTAATTACTGAAACCATGGCAAAACTATATTAAATCTTATCAAAAATCCTGTTGAAACTATGCCGAAATGGCGAAACCTCAAAATGCGAAACTCTACCGAAACTCTAATAAACAATTAGTGTGTAGCCTGCCGAAACCCTGCTGATTGATTTCTGGAGGAGTTTCGGCAAGCAACCTTAGTAACACGGGAATTACTAAATTTTATATTACAGTATGGTCACGTGAAAGTCATGAGGTGCACTTAGAGAGGGTAGTTTTATATGAATGGGTCTAGGGAAAGGCCATGCAGTATAGAACATAAAGGTACACTTATCTCTAAGTCCCAAGCTTGAGACTGCTGACCGTAGTTTGAATTTTTTTTATAGACGATCTGCACTGTATTACAAGTCCCAATATGTTTTGATCTGCGAGAGAGATAACAGAATTAGTAGTAATGATTTAAAATTTTATTGTTACATTGAAAAAATGTCTAGTGATGAGCAAAAATATGACGATATTCCAAAGGATGTTATAAACAAAAGAATTCAATCTGAAGATCAATTAGCAACAGTTCGTTATGTTGGCCCTGTCCCACCTACAAAAGGTATATGGTATGGTGTTGAATGGGACAATATTTCAAGAGGCAAACATGATGGTTTACATGATGGTGTAAGATATTTCACGTGTAGGTTAGTTATACTACATAGTTATTATTGCTTTTATGTATTGGAGAGAGAAAAAACGATTACATTAATTGATTTATTGATTGATTGATTATTTTAAATAAAACAGTGTTCCAAATAGTGGATCTTTTATTAGGCCTTCTCCAAAAATACATTTTGGTCGTAGTTTTCTTTCAGCCATGATTTTAAAATACATTGACTTAGAATTATCATCATCATCATCATCAATGGTTAAAAAAGATTCTAATGATAATAACAGTAATAGTAATAATGGTGGTGGTGACGATGGTGGTGATGGTGAATCATATGATGCACAAAAAGATTTGGATACAATTTATTGGGCCGGTAATACAAAAATAGAGGTTGAGGCTATAGGATGGGAAAAGATTCGTAGAAAACAAAGGTTTAATAATTAAATAATTTTAATTTAATTACTAATAATGGTGAACAATAATTCTTATTTATTAACAAACTACTTACATATATACTATATATATTATTAATTATAGGCAATTGGATAGATTGACAGAAGTAGGTTTATCTTTTGAACGAATTTCAAATGCAGGAAAGCCTGGAGAAATCGAAACGACTTGTCCAAGTAATATATATATTAAAAAACTTTACAAACAAATGAAATAATTTAATATTGGTAATTAAGTATAAAGTTCTTTAGATATAATTGACTTGAATTTGTCAAAAAATCTAATATCTGATTGGGAAACTGTTGCTCGAATTTGTGAACAATTAAAAAAACTGCAGGTTTTAAGATTAAAGTAAGCTTGCTTATCTTCTCCTATTGATCAATTTCATTAATAATTTGACTAATTTTTTTTATTTGATTTTAGTTACAATAGATTTCAAGGGTTAACAAGGGTTCCTGATTTTAAAATTTCATTTACAAATTTAAAAAATTTATCTTTGAATTATACTAGGATTGAATGGAAACAGGTTTTATTTCATACTAATTAACTAATCAGTTAAAATACAAATTATACTTGAAATTCTTATGATTTTCTTCTTTATAGATTGAACTACTCGAACCATGTCTTTTGAATTTGGAAAATTTACAATTAGGTTTTAACAATATTAAAAATTTTGGAGATATTGATGGTGAAAAGGAAAACCAGATAAAAAAAAGCAAGATAAAAGGGTTTTCCAAATTAAAAACACTAAATCTTGAATCTAATATTATTGATAGTTGGGATGAAATTGCTAGATTTTCAGGATTACCACAGTAACTAATTAATTATTATTATCTATTTATATATATATATATAATTATTTACCAATAATAATCTTTTATCATTATAGGTTGGAAACACTTTTTATTAGTAATAATTTAATAAACAATATTTATTATCCTAAAGGAGTTGATAATCAAGAATTTCCAAAATTAAAATATTTAAATGTTAGCGAAAATAAAATCAATGATTGGCAAAATGTTAATGAACTTAATAGGTTTCCTTCATTAGAAGAGTTAAGAATTAAAAAAAATCCACTTTTTGATAGTAATGAATTTAATGAATTTTAACATATTGATGATTTTTATGATTATATTTTAATCGCCTTACAAATCAATAACACTTATTTTTGTATCTATAATATAGGTATAAAAGCCGATGAAGCATATATTCTAATTGTTGGTAGAATTAAAGGATTAAAAATGATGAATGGAAGTATGGTAATTATAATCATTAATCATTATTAAAATATCTTTTCAATTTGCTAAACAACATTAAATCTTATGTATAGATATCATCTAACGATAGAATTGATACTGAAAGATATTATTTGAGATTATGCATCAAGGATTTGAAATCACCTGATGAAATAGAGAAACACCATCCTAGATTTAAAGAATTATGCGAAATTCATGGCGAACCTACTTTTGATGATAGAAGTTCAAAAGCAACTAGTAGCATGTTGAAAGATAGATTAATAAGTCTGTATATTATCATTATCATTATCATTGTCGTTATCGCTAATCGCTAATTAATTAATTACAATTCATGGATCAAAATATTTTGATCATAAAAAAATTTTTTTTATATATAGCTTTGACTATTACCCATAGAAAATCTCTTGATGAAGAGCCAATAAAAATAATATCAAAAAAACTTTTAGGTATTTTTTTTTTTATAATAATTATTGTGAATAGAGATAATGATTTCTAATTCAATTTAAGTTTTATAATCTTATTAGGAACTTTAACTTTGAGAAATTTAAAAAATATATTTCAAAAATCATTTGGAATACCAGCATCACAACAAAGATTATATGCAATTATTAAAGATGAGGTGTTATTTTATTTTATTTATTATTTATTTATTATTTAAATATAATATTTAAAATTTATTAAAAATTGCATTTAAACTAGACTGTAAAAGGCACTTCAATATCAAAATTTGAAATGAATGATGATTTGAGACAATTATCATATTATGATTTTATATCAGGAGATGAAATCATAATATTATCAAAATAATTTTTATATTTAAGCAATCGATCAATGATAAAAAAAAATTTTCTTATAAAAAAAATAAAAAATAAATTGAATAAATCAGAATTATTTAATATTTATTATAATAATTATTATCATGAGTTATAAAGTTGGTGAGTGAAAAATAAGATAATAGTAATAATTTTTAAATCATAATATTTTAATTTGAATAATGAATCATTGTATATGATTTTATGAATTGGCTGATGTTTCCCTCGCTAGTTGGGGTCATAAAGAAATTTATATAGCAGAAAAATGAAATGACTGGACTTATGCATTTACGTAAAAAATATGGACCTTCTAAACCTTTAAAGGGTGCACGTATAGCAATTTAAACTGCGGTTTTAATTGAACTTGGAGCTGAAGTAGCTTGGAGTTCTTGTAACATTTTTTTCCACGCAAGATCAAGCTGTTGCCCGCCATTGCAGTCACCGGCGTGCCTGTTTATGCAATGTAAAAATCGATTACGAATCGAAAATCGATTACGAAAAATTAATCGATTAACATCTCTAATTCAGTGGGCACGACCTCTACAAGGAAAGGCCACAAATATATATATATATATATAGCAACTTTGTGATGTAACCACTCTCATTTAATATTAATATTATTAATATATAAATTTTTCTTCGGGAAAACTTTATATATACAAAGATCGTCAATTAAACCTTTGTCATAAAACACTTATTTTTTAATACATTTTACAAATTTGATAAAAGGTATGGTTCTCAGCGGGATATTTATTATGGCTTTACATAGTGTTATAAATACATAAAGAAAAATGTTCCGTGATACAATTTAATTTTATTACTCATTCAATCAAATAAAATTTAATATCGGATATTCATAATATGGTTAACATTAATAAATAACTAAAATTTTAAATTATTCATCTTTTGTTATCCATAGTCACATAACAAGTGTGTAGATTCATCACTACATATTACAATGTCAGGCACATTAGTTTTTGCAAGTACAGCCAAACCTTGTCGCAGCACAGCGGACTATTTTTATGTGCCCCGTTCATCCGCTGTTGACTGTAGCTCTTTTACAATTTTTGTGACCCTTGTTTCTTTCATATCCAACTTGACTTCTTAGAATATCTCTTTACTTTTACTTTCTTCAAAATATGAGCAGCAGTAGAATTTTTTTGCTTGTTATTCTATTATTACTTTCTTCTTGTATTTAGTGACCGAAGCCTCTTCTGTAATTATAAACGAATGGAATTAATCAAAAAGTTCATTGATCAAATATTCAATGAATATTAGATTTTTTTCCAGTTCCCAAAGAATAGAATGGCTACACTCGCAACAAAATTTCAATTGTCATGGAAATATGTAGCAAAAATTAATCTAGCAAAACGTAAGTTAGAAACCGGGAATTCAGTTAGTAATTATTGATTTTTAATTATATGTCCATTTCAATCACAATTTTCCAAAACATCCTAATTTATATCAATATAACAAGTTACTATGAAGAGAAATGGATTAGAGATACTCAAGAGGAAGATATTATATATTGTATGGTCTTAGTATTATTTATTAATCTTTTATAAAGCATATAAATGTATTAATAAAGAAGGATATTGGAAATCGTTTGGCTAATTGTGAGGCAGAAACGTGACTATTGGGATGTATATGACTGATGAAATCGTTCTACGTATTGTGTATGATGTTTCCAAACAGACTAGATTTGTAGAATTATCGAAGACAAGATAATTAGTGCCAAAGTACATGATGCTGTTGAGTATATCGACTTATCATACTTATCATGCATTTCATTCAAGTGTGACTGCACTGCTATAAAGCTTCGAAATATTCATTCAGCAACTTCATTATATGATGTGATGTTCCACTTGTCAAATTGATGCCGCGCAAACTAGAAATCGAAATATATAAAGACAAGGACAATCAATATTAGGGAGATAGATAGGTAGTGGAGAAGTTATCATTATTATAAGATTCCAATTAAAAAGTAATAATGAAAAATTATCCTAATCTAAAAACTTAATATAGCTTTTATCTCAAGTTTACGTTTTATTTATTTGACACATTTTAATTGAATGTATTTTTCAATAGCATCTTTTTTGGAATAACTATCACTAGTACTAGTACTAGACCCTGAAAAATTCGTCGATTATGATAAATATTGAAGTTGTTTTTTATTTTAAAAATTAAATAATTATATCTATTGTGTCAACTCAAAAGAGTTGTTTTAATGAGCTTTACTAATTACTAATCTTAGCTTTGCTCAGTAACTTACATTAAGAATTATAATAGTAATAATAATGATAATAATAATAACGTTTTCTTTCCCACATTAATTAATTCCACAAAAGTATATTTAGTATCTACTATCAGAATTTATTCCTTTTCTTTTTTCCTCTTCTCTAACTTCAAACATTATTTGGACGGCACAAAAAATTGCAATACAACTTAATCCAAGTGCTATTAAACCTTTATAATTGAAAGAAAAAAGTCAAAAAAATTTTTTTTATACGAGATTGAAGAAATGAGAAATGAATATATTTGTAAATAAATATTTTAAGAAATTTACCATCCGTTGTAAGAAATATCTCTGATAATAAAAATTTCATTCCATCTAAACCAACAGCAAATCCAACTAAATTTGCTGCCCACATGGTTAATAAATTTAGTACACATCCAATAGCACATAAATGTCTAAAATATTGCCAATTTGTCCACTAAGTTACAATTTGTAAAATAATAATGATTAATTATATTATTACTACTACTACTACTACTACTACTACTATTATTATTATTATTATTATGATTTTGACTTTTTTATACATACCCCTTTGCCTGAAAATACTTTTGCAGCAATAGCTTCAGGTAAAATAAATAACCAAATTAGCCAACCCCATGCTAATAACGATAAAGTGATATCATGCCATATTGCTACAAATGTGAACACCACTAATATATTATATATAGCATATTTAGTTCCCCCAAGTGGTATATAAATATATCTAATAATTAAATCATCTTCATTATTATTTAAATGGCATTTGTATGCTTATTCACATAAATATATACATGTATGCATATTGATATATGTTTAAATACCTAATAATCCAACGATAATAACTTCTGTGCCAACTACGCCAAAATCCCTGAGTAGAATAATTATTAAACATACATCTCAACATATTTTCTTGCGTGTCAATACCATCCACCATTGCCCAAAATCTGAAGAATCTCCAAATAATCAAAAGCTTTTATTTTTAAAAAAAGTATTAAATTTTGCAGATCAACGAAAAAATTAAAACAATCAAACAAATTAACAAATAATTGATTTACCTTTAACCAAATCAATTTTAAATTGAATGCTCCAATCATGGCTAATTCAAATGGAGTATAGCCCTCATATACACCAGACTTACTTATTGCTACTACATACATATAATGCAACATAAATTCCATCAAAATAATGGCTGAAAATAATCTTAATCCATATGATATTATAGATTTAAAATTTTGCTCCTTTGGATATCTAAACTAAGTGTAAATATAAATTTTATATTTATATATTTTGTTGAAAAATGTATGATGATTTAATAAAATTTTTTTAAAATTAAACTTACTTGAGAAACAAAATCATTATAAGTAATAACAGGTCCAGCAAGATATAAAGGTGTGTATAATATATACGATAAATAATAAATATAGTTGTAATCTTCTTTGAAGCAAGGATTTATGATTCTACTTTTATCTGATAATAATGAACTATTTTTATCAATTTTCTAATGTATTTGAAATAAATTATCTTAATTATTAATTAATAGTTGTCATGAGTAATCTTCATATATTTATCTATATATAACATTTACATTGGGTTCTCCCAAAATTACCTCTCTTGTATCATTAGAAGAATGAAATGACCAATAATAATCCATATTATAAGATATAATTCTTAACATCGAAAAATTAAATGTAATATTCCATCTCGGTAATAAACCTTTATTTAAATCCTTTTAAAAAAAAAAATTAGAAAAAAATCAAAAATCAACCTGGAGTAACAATAATTTAACTTACTAAAAATCCAAGTCTTTCATCCAACATTTCGAATCTATAACCATCATAATTTTCGTTTAAAAATAATATTGTTAAATTAAATATCCAAGTTATCACAGGATTTAATTTTGAACCTTTAAAAATCATTGATATCAGGTAACTTAAAGTTAATATAATTAATATCTTAATAAGACTATTACCAAATAGTACATAAAGAAATATCAATGAAAATGTTAGAGAGAAATAGATTCTGGATAAAAATTGTGATGGAGGTTTTGCTGATGAAGATGATGCAGAAAATCTTTTGTATAAATAACTAGTTAAAATATATGTTGTTAAAGCAAAAAATAATGGCATATAATTATCACGAAATGAAGCGAATTGTACATCACTATTATCCTATATAAATAAATGGAAAAATATATGCACAAATACATTAGAAAATATACAGACAAAAAATTAATACATCCAAAATTAATCAATTTTAATATACTTGCAACTTTTCTTCCAAATATCCAGCCGTCACTCAATCTTTTGGAATAGTATATATAATTTGGATGATTATCTAAGATTCAAAATGCAATTGAATTAATAATAATACTAATTCAATATTTATACTAGATTCTTCGAATTTAACCTACCTTGACTTATATCAACTGTCACCTTGGCCATATAAAATAGTGAAGTTGCAACTATTAAATAATAAAAATAAAATTCTCGGGTATTCCATAATGGTGCTTTGGTTTTTATACGTTCTGTTGATGTTGATGTTAATGTTGATGGTGGTGGATAATTATTATTATTCATTTTTTAAATGAAATAGTTAACAAAAAAATTTATCAAAAAAAAAAAAGATCAGGTCGTAAAAAATGTGGTGGTAATGCACATTAATGTAGATCTTTCCAGTATAAGTAACCTATTTTTTAATTATTTAGGAAAACAAACAGACTTTTTAATTGTAAAGTTATATTAATATAAACAAAAAAAATTTTGGTGCAAACCTTCATAGTGGCACAGACTAAGGAAAATTATCAGCAATCACTTTTTATGGAAAGGCTTTTTAAGTTTATAGATGGAAATTAAAATTCATATATACCGAAACGAAACAAAATTACTATGTGTGTGTGGTGGGTTTTTTAATGTTACACTATGTGTCATCATCAAAACATAATCTTTAAGAGGAAATTTTGCGGATAAAGGAAAAAAAATTCAAGATAAACTTTAACTTTAAAATGTAAAGGCTCAATAACCAAGCAAGCTGGAGGAATAATCTTTCCGCGATTTTATTCAAAAGCGCTCAATTAATAGCATGCCAGAGAGTTTTTTTATTTTATTAGTAAAAAATTTTTGTCAGCACATTTTTCATATTAAAGGAAATTTATCTACAGAAATATCTGAATGGAAACGGTATATTATAACTAATAACAACTTGATATTTAATAGAATTTCTTGAGAAGAAAAACATCGAGTTACACGTGAAAGAAATTTTGAAACAAAATGTCGGCCGAATAAATTTCTTTTGCCTTTTCGAAATGCAACATTTTTATCTTTTCATACATGATTGGTTTTTACTTAAAATATCTAATCCGGAATAATGAATGCATTGGTCATGTAATGCAAAAAATAATAAGAAAGTATATATCATCCGAAAAGACTTGGTAACAAGAGACACACCATTTTACAAGGGATGTTGAGGATGCAATAATCATAATAAGTACCTGGTCTCGAGTATCCGTTGTACAAGTTGGAAATGCTAAAAGATTTGAATGTGATGTAAGATATTTCGCCTTTTCGAAATGCAACACAATTTCTAATATTTTGATAGTGTGTTATTATCACTGAAATTTTTCGTCCCTAATACAAAGTATACAGCAATTGGTTATGTTGAGAATGGAATTGTCGACATAAACTACAGTCACACCTGTCTATTTGCATACTGGTGGGACCAATGAATCTTTATGCAAATAGACAGAGTATGCATATTCGCATTATCATGTGACTGATGAATTAACTGTCACATGACATATGTAAAAATCGCTTCGCGTCATTCATGATTCTTTAAAATAATTTTTGATTTTACCCGATTTTACACAAACATTATTATATTATTTTGTTATCCTTTATATCTACAATGAAGAAAGCTAACTAAACAACGAACAACGTCATAAATTTGTTTAAAAAAGCAAAATGGTCCAAGAATGACCCAAAAAGAATTTATTAATGGTGTGAACAAGAATTTGGGGTAAAAATTGATCTAGCAAGAATTTCCAGAACATTAAGGCGTTCATCCGAATTTTTAAGTAATGAAACAAATCCACTACAGAAAAAATCTTGTAATGTGAAATATCCCGAACTTGAACACGCGAAAAAGATTTATTCTGATTCTATGAAACAAAGCAATATTAAAGATTTTTTTGAATAAAAAATAAAATTATTGTATTGATCTTTCCTTTTATAGTATGAATATGCATATTTACGTTAGTGGGGCCTAGTAGAAACAGGATGCATATGCACGTTTACGTTATGCAAATAGTTCATAAGTCCCAATACGGGACTGAGCTACCTTTATGCAAATGAACAGATTATGCAAATATACGGTATGCAAATAGACAGGTGCAATTGTACAATGTCGAGACAAATGGTCACGTTGAAGTGCTGATGAATACTCAAATATTTAGGAGAGACAGAGTGATTTTTTAAGCAGCCTTGCGAGAAATGTGATGACAAGAGTTCAGTTTCTAGTTTTTGCATTAGAAGTAAGGCTTGGGTCTATGTTAAATTTATTCCAAAGTGTTCAATTTTCAAAATACAAAAAATTTCCCGTATGAAGTTTATCCCGTTAAGAAAAGGTTGGACTCGAGAAACAATCATTACAGCGATTGGGAATGCAATAATTTGGAAAAGTACTTAGACTTAATTGGATATTGATTCAAAAGGTTGTATAAATGAAATTCTAGGAAGGAATTGAAAAAAAAGTTTTTTATGTTGGTGGAATGGTCCAAAGAAAAAATCTGAGAAATCGAAATCAACCACCATTTTGATCTCTGATTCCTCATAGACAGGATACTATGTAATAAATAAAACCTTTAAAAAAAAATTCTGGAGCAATCATTTCGTAATAGTAATATTTAAATTTCCAAAATGGCCTTTTTAAACGTAAGTAAAAGACCTTGTGCAATTACAATTTTATTTTAAAACTGAAAAGTAAAAATGATCTATGCTGTATCATTGATATCAAATGACAAAATAATATAAATATGGTGAAATGACAAAATAAAATTTGAGTTTTACTTTTCTATACTCCAAAATATTTTCGACAACAACCCTGGTGTGGTTCCATCTAAAAGGCCAACCATTATGTACACGGGACATGTCCGCCTAATATTGAGCGGAAATGGACATGTCCTGGACAATGTCCAATGAACACTATCCAAAAATGTCCGCTCATTTTCTTAAATGTCCCGGACCACTAATATCTCCGGTACAAACCACAAGTTAAACGTGAGAAAATGCCTTTACCACCTTTATTAACTCAACATATTAAACCAAACCAATTCAAAACAGATTGTCAGACTAGCTTTAATAATTTATTTATTATTTGCATTTTTATTTATAATTTCCATTTTATTAAATAAAAGTAAAAATTATTTGACCAATTGAAAGAAATCAATCAATCAACCAGTTAATTAAATAATTTTATATTAATAATCCAAAGTCTTGCTTGAGAATAGAGGCAGAAAGTTAATATAAAATTATTTTTTTACAAATAATTCATTTGTAATAAACATTTTCGTAGTTTAAAACAAATTAATTCTTTTTTGTTTAATAAAACACTTTTATGGTCGGAAATTAAACAGTAGGGTTTAACCTCTATTTGGTTATCAGAGTTATTAAAGCAAAGATTTTTCTATAGATATTTGTTTTAGTAAGAAAGCAAAAGGTTTGATTTTTTGGTTTTTGTTAAGTTTTTGTTTAATTTTTTGTAAATGGGTTTAATTGACCACCTATACAAAGTCATTATCACATATTGATTTATTTTATTGTAAAGCAATTGTTGCAAACATACAGCTATCTTCAACTGGTCAAAGAAAGTAAAAGTAAAGCAAATAAAAGAAACCCTATAGGGGATTTATTGCTTGGTTAATCGTACCATAAAGTGTTTACAGATTCATCAAAGCTTTAAGAAAGAGGTAGTAGGCAAAAATTTATATTTTTGTCCGGGACATTCAAAGTGATGGACACGGACAACACTGATTATGAACTTTTATATTCTGCTTATAACAAACTACAGGAATATCATAAAACTGGAATTTTCAATAATATTGATAATAAAAATGGTGGCAGTAATAATAATAATAGTAATTAACAACAAAATGCACAAATCACATCCATTAACATGACATGCAAGTAGAATATTAATGATGAAATGAATAAATTAAATTTAAAAAGTAATCAAGTGACAATCGAAAATTTCTCAGGATCCTTTCCATGTTCAATGGCATATTTATAAAGACATTCCATTTTATTTGGATTAGTCCTAGAAATTGGGGAGTTACGGGAGTAACAAGGCTCTGCTTCTCGGGGTTTGTTTGATACACTTATCTTCATTTTGGAATTTATCCAGGGATCAAGCCCAGTTTCTTTCTTATATCTTTTATATAGCTTGGAACGAATTTTATCTGATAAAATATTTGGTAAACCAATTAATTTGGCATGCCAATCCAGATGTTCGGAGGTTAATATTTTATCAGACTTAGTTTTATATGATTACAAAGCAATTTAATTTCCCGCATTGGGTATTATAAAAAAATATTAAATAAATATAGCCACTTTGTGACGCCTTTGGCAATCTTTATTACATAGTAATAAAATATAAATAAAGTTTATGCGGTTATTTTAGTTTCATGCTTCTCACATTTAATGTAATAAGATCCATCTTTATATTTTCCTTCTATACTTTCCTCATCATCGTGATCTAAATTGCATAATGGACATAATGTCTCAGCAGTAATTCCGTAGTAATCAGCATTTTCACTGCTAAATTCTCTATATAAATTAGAATATTGTTCCAATGTTTTGTTACGGAAATAAGCACGGTCATGAGTTTGTATACTTACCTGAGGCGTAGATGGGATCTTAGTTTTTGGTGAGATATTATTATTACTAATACACTTACTACAGTTTCTAATAAAACCTTTTCGGGATGAAATACAGTTGGTATACTTACCTTGGCTTTCGCATCTGAAGAATCCGAGACTTGGGATATAGACAAAGGGATAGGAGTTGTGATGG